AAGAACTCAAGCTGATCGTTGGAGCATGTGGCGGCACCGACGCAGTCATCAATATATCGTTTGTAGATTCTACCTTCCCTTAACGACAGACTACTGTTCTTTTAAATTTTCTCCATTCATTGGAAGTTTCATTTCACACCTCTCTGCACCCATTCTGACTTCACACCTCTTGATTGGCCTCTCTTTCTGTCCCCTGCTCCCGCCTCTCACTCCTCCTCCCCCCAACCTTTGTTCTCCCGCTACTTTACCTTTGCCTACTGCTTTGTCTCTCTCACACCTGAAGAAGGCTCCACGGCCGAAATGTTGTGTTCTCTTTCTTCTTTTTTTCAGCATGGAATAAACCTATTACTTGTTTGTTTGGCTTAGTATTGTTGCCTCGTAGCACAGGGACCCTGTGTTCCATTTGGAATCTGGGGTGCCATCATTGTTGGGGTTTGTGTCTCTCCCCATGTTTAGTTAGGTTTCTTTTGGGTGCTCCAGTTTCCTTACACAGTCCAATCGCATACTGGTAGGTTAATTAGCTCCTGGAAAAATGGGCCCTGGTGTACCTGTGTCTGTGTGTGCCCTGCGATGGACTGGTGTCCCATACAGACTGTACCCTGCCTCGTGCCCATTGCTTGCTGGGATAGACGTGCCAAAAGGACATCTTTCACAGAGCAGATTTTGCAGAGGCATTGCCATCTTCTTTTTCCTTGAGTCTGGGGTCGTCACAGTTGAAAATGTTACTGGTTTTGCTCCCCAACCACGCTTTTTACTTAAGTACGTAGGGACTAGGGGGTTAGGTTCTGTGATATACTCATCAACGGATAATATAGCATTCCGATTTCACCCTTAAAAATGACCAATAACATGCATTATAATTTAACATATGAAAGTGAAAAGGTACAAATAACAATAAACGGGAATGTTAATTACCTTGAATGTTAAGATAATAGTAAAAGAATAGAATATACTTTAGAAAGCACTGCAATCACGAGAGTCTGAGCACCCAGCTATGTGCAGAGAAAAGCTGTGCGTGATGGAGAACCTGCATACAACTGAAAATGTTCTGTAGGATGAACTGTATGTGAAGAAGGGTTTCTTACAGTTGGGAAAAATTCACAAAAAGAAGTTAAAACCTAAAACCATTTAGAGGTGGACTTGAATAAATTCAACAGGAACACAAACTAAAAAAAAAACCAAGGTATGTTTCAAAGTCATCCGTAGCAAGGTAACAGATTTGATACTAAGACTGAAATCTACAGTATATAACTGTTGCCTTGCATAAATATATTATGCTTTTTCTCAAGGATTTCTTGTAGTCAAACTATTATTTTTCATTTTTTAAAGAAGTGTAAGTACTGGCAATTGAGCACTGTTCACAGTGCCTATAGAAATTCACACCTTCTCCAAAGTAACACATTTTGTGGTCTAACAGCCTGAATTCAAGACGCATTAAAATACATTCTGATCTACCTTTATTTACATATTGTAACAATCTCCAAGTGAAAAAAAAACATGCTCATTCATTCTGAAAAGTAATTGCAAATGAAAACCTAGTTTGATTAGTGTACATTACCCTTAGCAATAGCATTTGTATATTTGTCCATGTGTAATCAACTACCTTCTGCATTATAAAAAGCTAATTAGCCTCCACCTATAGTCAATTTTTGTGATGTTTTTAGAATAAAATCAGCTTTCTGTAGGTTTCTTCTGCCTCAGTAGTGCATCTCAATGCAAAGAGTCAACAAAGGGCAGCATGGAGCTGTTAAAAGACCTCTGGCATAAAGTTAGGGAAAGGCAAGCTGTACTGAAATATCCCTTAAAGGCTGATGAAGAAAGTTTTGCATATGGATTTGAAAGTGTTAAGGGTAGGTGACTCCCACAGGTTTTCATGTCAGACATGCAATCAGTGCAGAAACAGCCACTTGGAAGTGCTCCTTCCAAGACTGAAGATGTACATTCAAGCCAGAGTCCACCTATGTTCTACATTAAGAAGTAGAAGGTCAACAGGCCAGTATTGAAAAATAGATGACCAAGCGAGGTGTAAACTGAACAGAGAGACCCCCAAGAATCAAAGGGGAATTTTGAAGGACTTGTCACAACTACTGTATATCCCCAGCTCTCCAAAAGTCTGGGCTGTATGGGAGGCAAGCAAGAAGAAAGCCACTAGTCAAAAAGGCCAACACACATCTCTTGTGAGGTGTGTAAAACAATACAGTGGAGATTCTGAAGCCATGTAGAAAAACGTTTTGTGGTCTGATGAAACCAGGACAGGCGTTTTTGGCCTAAATGCAAAACATAACGTTTGACAAAAGCCCAATACATCACATCAGAACACCATCCCTACTGTAAAGCATGGTGGAGACAGCATTCTGTTATGGGGGTGCTTGTCTACAGCAGGGACTGGAGCACTGGTCGGGACTGAGAGAAAACTGGATGGAGCGAAATACAGATGGATTCTTGAAGAAAACCCGCTGTTCTCTATAAGAAAGCTGAAATTAGGAAGCAAGTTTACCTTTCAACATGACAACGACCCTACGCACACAGCCAGAGCAACAATGGAGTTACTACAGAAGAAAAGGTTAAATGTTCTCACGTGGACCTGTCAGAGCCCAGACCTCAATCCAACTGGAAATCTGAGGAATGACTTGAAGGTTGCAGTTCATCAACAGTCCCCTTGTAATTTGACTGAGCTGTTCTGTAAGGAGCAATGCGCAGACATTGCTCCATGTGCCAAATCTTAAGTGTGCCATGTTGGTGCAGACCTATCCAAACAGAATTATGACTAGAGTGCTTCCGCTAATTACTAACTCAGGGATCTGTACACTTACCCAACCAATTTTTCTAGGTTTTCATTTTGACTTTTCAGAATGTTTGAGCAGTTGTTTTTCCAATTGGATATTGTGTTACAATGAATAAATACAAGTAATATAAACTCTGATTTAATGTGTCTTGATTATGGGTTGTTAGACTATGAAATGTATTATTTTGGAAAGGGCTGTAGACCTTCTTTAGGCACTTTATATATATTACTATTAACTGTAGTGTAAAAGCCTACACCCAGTCCATAAAGATCACCACAACGAACTAAACAGGATGTTCTCTCATTACTGTACCTCAAGGGTTTAACTTCTGACCAATCAATTACTGTATGTAGGCTACAGCTCAAAAGCTTTCACAGACACATATGTACATAAGTTTCACTGCTTCATTTAAAATATAATTATCTCAGCTTTTAAAATTGCAGTATTTGTGGTCTATAATATAACTGGAAAAAGTCTTAAAAAACATTGGTACACAAGCTGTATTACAGCTTTTAACCCTATGAAATAAAAACAATTTGCAAATAAATGCATTAAAACAGTGGTGAATAGTATATTTTGAGTGTTTTATTTAGCAGATGATGGCTGTTCACATTTTGGACTATTTCCTGTATCTTACACACTTTCACATTAATGTCAAAAATTCAATTTTATCTGTCCTCTCATATGAAGTCTATGAAGAAATAGAAACCTCAGTTTCTTTTTCGTATTATGCGATTATAATGCTTAATACTCAGAAGTATGTATTCTTTCTTATATTTCCTAATTTAATACTTTGTTCAGGCATTTTAATTTAGTGTATGAATTGGACATTATGATACATGTGTTCCTCACTCACAAACATCTGCTTTAAAATGGCCCAAAATAGAATAGGAGCAGTTATTTGCAATAAGTGGGTATGTCTTAGGATTCTTAGGTGAATCTGCTAACACTGGGGGAGGGGGGAAACAATTCTATTAAAAGGTGTGAAAATAAATGGATTTATTCCTTTCTTCTTCTACAAAAGGTCACACATGGTACTGAAAGCGTTATGAATGTATCTGGAAGCAGCTCCTTGGTGCTTAGGGTGAAACGATCTAAATATATTTAGTTTATCATCACACCTTAACTGTTAAGCTCGCAAGCCTGTAACTTGTACTGTACCAAATAAAGTTGAAAGATTAAAGTTACCAATAAAGGACATAAAATGAAGGGAATCATTTCTGGTTACAGTTGACAATACGTGCAATGTACTCCCCCCACACCTATAAACTCACACAGGAATAATACACGCTAACAGATGCTTAAGGGAAACAGCGTAGGATAGCCCACATTTGCTTTGTGGGTTCATGCACTCTGAATGACTTACCTAACCAGGTACAGTTGTAATGCCCAAATTTTTTCCATCTTTGCTCTGTTCAATAACTACAAATGGGGGCTCTGTCTGGCACATAAGTACTGAAACTTCAGCCCTTTCACCAGACAGCTGCCTCTTTAAGTATGTGTAGCTTGTGACCACGTTGTACAAAAACCAGATCCAGTTCCTGGGAGCTTTTAATACATATTTAGTATCAAAGACAGGCTGCAATCCTGAAAATCGGAACTGCTGATGCATCGATGTACTCACATTGCAGCCTTAAATAAGGCACACATCAGCTTTACAAAATATTAGGCCAGCTTTTGTATTTTAGACGTTCTATGTTTAATTCTAGTACAAGCAGTATTTTCAAATTTAGACATTTATTTAAAAACCTAATGGCACTAATCGTAAACTTTTAATAACTTAAGTGTTCTCCTCAAGCCTAAGATACGCATTGCTCAGTTGCAAGACTTTGTGATGCATGTAAATCAAACTACTTCTGAGTAATAACATAAAATGCCCATGTAGACTGTCAGCCAGAAAGGGTCATGTTCCATGTTTTTAGTGTGCATTGAACATGCCACCCTTTAAAATTCGATCTGGATTTCATCTTCACTAGAGAGTATCCCAAATGGGCAAAAGGTACTTCCCTCAGAGCATAGGATGTTTTCTGATCATTACAGACTGTACATCTCATAGCTATAACTTTGCACTGCATGGATCTCTTTTCTTTTGGGAAAAAAATATAGTGGAAGTAGTCAATTCTTCAAGACTGGCTAAAGTGCATAATATTATACACGCACATCAATCAGCTGCAGGACTAAAATGCGAGCCAAACAGACTGTGGGACTGGTGATCAGGGTCAGCTGCGAACTGCTTGAGGGACTGACGAAGCGGAACACTCTGCAGCCGCAAGGGAAAGTGAAGAGCTGTCCACTTTGTTCGAAAACACGAAAAGGTCTTGTGTGTTTGTAACAGGGAAACAGATCTGGCCAGTTTACAGGAACATCCCATGAGAAAAGCAAACACTCAAAACACAAATTCTTATGTATAGTTTACAGAAGCCGCACTGCAGCCAGACTGTGTTTATCTCACTGAGTATCTTTCAGCTAAGTATCCACTTATAAACACTTCAAATGACTACCTATAGATCTGGGACGGCTAATGTTTCCATGCCATCTATCATGCACTGTGTACTGTAGTTAGAGGCCTCATCAAATTCACCATAGTCTCTGCACTGTGTACGTCTACACAGTACACAGTTACTGGGAACCAGAATCCCCCTTTCATTTTTTCTTTTTGAAGTTGAAGTGGTTAAAATGAGAGCATCAACCGCTCTCATTTTAATAATGCTAATAAAATAACGTTCATAAAAAGGATTTAAAAAAAATAAAATCCATCTAGAATGGAAGAAATGTTTGCTCTCATCTCACTCAGTTCCAAAGGAAGAAGACAAGAAAACCAGATGACTAAGACAAGAAGCATCCTGAAAGACATTTATATTGAAAATGCATGAAGCAGATACTTAATTCTATGGATCCATTTCATTGCTTTTAATTAATCTTATCTTTCAACATTAAGTGCCTTTGTTCTATAGAAAAAATAGCCTTTTTATTAGTACTTTTCTGGAGAAATCTGTGATTGGGGAGGAACCATTCAACCTACCTGGTCATGGCTCACTTTGCCTCGTGCGCTTGATCGATCAGCGTAGCCCTTATTTAAACAACAACGTTCCAATATTGTGAACCTTTATTAGGAGGTTCTTATTGAAGTATAAATCACACTACAAGTTTAGAAAAAAGTTATTTACACTACAGTGCTGACATTTTAAAATGGAAAAAAAAATCTTGATATAAATAAGCTCTATGGAAAAGCCCGGAGTCATTAAAAGAATTCTGGCTCGTCTTACAAAAAATATATATGTTTATGTCAGCTCTAATACATCTATAACCTACAACTCAAAAATATATTATTTAAGGACCTGTTTATTTAAAACCTGCAGTGTAACAGTGCAGCTGGCCCTAAGTGCTTTGATATTTCACAGTTACGGACAGGCACTGAGGAATGTTACAAGCTACATTTGCTATGTATTCATTCAATAACAGAGTAGAGTGCAAGTCACACGCTTGCCCAACAGAGCTTACATAATCCATATAGTACATCACACGGTTTTAGATAGTAAAAACAAAAAAAAAAAGAAAGCTATTTAAAAACAATATGTACAAATTAGTATAAAAAGTCTTTCTGCTGCTCGTGCAGGTGGTGTTTTATGGAAGGCTGCGGCCTCGTGTCTTCAGGGGTGATGGGAGCCTTTGGGTACAACGTGTCCTTGGGTTTCTCAGTCCTTGTCGTTCGGATAGCGCTCAGGACCCCCGCGAGTGCACTGCCCTGCTGCTTGGCCGGAGCAGCTCGACATTCAGAGTGATGGGCTTTCGGTTTGCTCTCCGGCAGAGGGAGCGGGGCGGCCTTCGTATTCCTTTCCTGAGGCACGTCGACCGGTCCCGTTTGGACTACTGGATGGGCGTCTTTAGGCTCTTTGCTTCCTTGGAGGGGTTTTGAGTCCACAGATATTCTGGTGTGCTCCAGACAGTCCTCGGGTTCCACTTTGACGCACATGGGCTCGGCGGACACTTTCGATTCTGTCCCTTCTTCCGACTCGTTGGAGCTGCTGGATGCCTCTGCCTCTTGGTGGTACTGTTTCAAACGTATGTGCCAGGCCAAGCTGCAGACGGAGGAGACCGTCTTGAACTGGTGCACCACGTTGCGGGGAATGAAGTAAATGTCATTGTCGTAAAGCTGGATCCGCGCGTAGCGGATGCCCTCCCGCCGGAGCTGGTTGAGCTTTGCGTCATCCACCCACTGCACGCACTGTGACAGCAAGACGAAGGGAAAAACAATCCATCAGGTACAATTCTGAGATTCTGCCTCAAGGAAGCATTTAAGAGATTAACACCACCCTCACCATAGAACTGTATGGACAACAACAGCCTAGATAGTCCCAGAAAACTGAGAAATATGATTACAATATGTGGGGGGAACTTTCAGCTCCCAACCGCCCACCACCCCAAAAATAACTACTTCCCAAACCCCTGGTCCAACTAATGCTGGGTCTGCAACCTCAGGCTCTTTAATGGCTTCTTCATTAGTCCCTACAATGTGTGGCAAGTACAAAAAATGTTATATCTAAATTGCAAACAAAAAGAGATCCTCGGATCAAATAGCTACTAACAAATGGGCTTGATGGGCCAAATCTCCTCCCATCCTCCCATTGTAACCTTTAAGCTGTTACAATACAATTTGAATCATTTGATAATTCATTTAATTCATGCAAAGAATTGTGGGATACGATTATTATATCCACATTCTAATTGTGTTCCAGCAAAGTCTTGATTTCCAAAAGTAAGCTTGCAGCATTTGTGCTGTGAAGGGCAACACATTTTGAGAAAGAAAACAGTAGTTAAACGAAAAGTCAAATTTGCATAGTTGACAAGGGGCTGGAATGGCTTACAAAAATGCAAAATTAAAGCTGGTAATAGAGAATTTTAAACGGGGTGGATAATTGTACCGATATTAACTCACATTAATATTGTATTTTAAATATAAATCAGTTGAAAACCATTAGTATACATAAAATAGTGAAAATAATTAAGTATTCTTCCACTGAGGTGAATTCCATGTGGTGATGCCTTTCTAAAAATGGACAACAGACTCCCCCCCCCTAAACTCAGCTTCTTTAAGGTAGACAGAACTTTCTATTACCTTTTTACAAATCATTTACTGAAAGTCCTTTACTATACTTACAGTACTTTATTGGTTCAGCAGCACCAGTCCTGCCAATTGTAACAGTTTAGGAAAAATAGTGAAGATAAGTAGCAAAATCATTGGGGCAAAGTGGATCAACCTAAAACTCCTCTATAAATAGAGGGATGTAAAGAAGGCTGATAGCATTATAGAGTGTGTGGCTCATCCACTCCATTGTGAATGTACACTACCTCCCATCTATGATGCACCTCTGTGTTCCCAGGTGTAATGATAACACACTCAGGAATGCTTTCATCCACTCTGCTATCTCAAACAGTGTAGAATAACTCTTACCTCCTGAAACGCTGTTGTACAGAATTCTTGTTGGTGATGTTTGTCTATTTGTCTGTTGTTCTACTCGGTCATAAACACATTTTTACCGTAGGGGATACTAAAGTTTGAATTGAAAGAACAATCAGATGGAGGAAAAGTGTGAGGAAATATCCTGTAGTACACACTGTACTGCAAATACATCTGCAAGTGCTGGTCTTCAAACAGGGGTTACGTAGTACTGTTTTCCGCTATTTATCAATGACTTATTAAAACGTATTGTGTCTCTTGTCATATTGAACTTTGACAATTTGACGCTACAGGTTGGAAAATGGACTACGGATCACTCAGCTTCCAGGAACAGGTACATCAGTGACTGCAGTACCAAGGAGGTGCATATTGGACCTATACTGGACCTACTGATTCATGTTTTTCAGGTAATAGCTCTATTCTATTACTTGATAATAACCCCTGGTAATTAAGACTTCATCTGGAATGTTACATGGAATTTATTTTTGAAAGAGACAGTCCAGATTAATTACCTGCCTTAAAGGAATATTGTGAACACAGAAAAAGGCAATTTATGTGTGTGTTCTTCCTTAAAAAGAGACTATGAGGAGAGCTTATGCAAGTATTCAAGATACTGAAAATGTGCAAACATAACTCACAAAACTACTTCAAGACTACAGTGGAGATAAGCGGACATTAACAAAATAAGTCTTTAGGATGAATCCCGAAAAATAGTCTCTTTGCCCATTAATCTGGAATCCCTCAAGAAATAACTGCATGAGATTCATAGATCCAGAAGATACTGCAATTCGAATAATGAAGAGTAAATTTAAAACTTCGGAGGATTAAACTGGTTGGACGTCCGAGTGTAAACTGTGTTTAAATTCTCCTTAAGTTGGCTAGGTAGAACATGATGGAATGTGCGCTGGTATGTGCGCGTGAACAGTGAAACTGAAATGGTACATTGAAAAAAAAATCTCTAGATTACAGCAAATTTTCCTCACCCCCCCCCCCCCTCCAAGACTGGCTGCAGTGCAACGTGACACCACCAGGTGTCAGGATTGGAAAGAATGGCACAAGACTGCAAGGAGGCCTACTCTATTGGGGTACAAGCCGGGCTCCAGGGCCCTGAGACGAGGAGGTGGGGATGCCTGTGTACCTCAAGCACCAGTGGTTACCTGCGACAGGGGAGGCTCATGCAAATCCAGCTGGAGCCTCTGCACTACTTCCAAGAAATCCCCGGCGTGAAAGCAAATCACATCTTTGGTTATTCGAGGGGGATCCGCACTAGATTTGGGAAGATAATGAGAATATCAGAACATAAGAAAACATTTCTATGTTCAAAACGTATTAACCAATAAGCATCTAAAATAATGTTCATTTCCCAGTGAAAAACTATTCCACTTCTACTTATCACACCAAGGAGATTACAATTCAAAAACAACTTTTGAATTTTAAGAGCATTTGATTTAAAAAAAATAAAATACTTCCTACAGGGTTCAACTGTATAGGTAGCATTTTTTTCACCTTTTTAGAATCGACAATGATCACAGAAACAACAGGATATTAAAAAAAACAGATCTAGGATTATGCTCGGTTACATTAATATCCATACAGTTAAACATGAAAAAATGTGTTCCCATTAATAAGTTTGGATTGTGAGTAAATCTAATTTCAACCAATCAATCTCTGTAGAACACCTATGTGGATCTACAATCAAGTGTTTTATGTAAATCTTAAGATATCAACAGACTACTCTACTGGCCCTCAGGCTATGATGCCTAAAAAGCACTTTAAGTACCATTAGAATAAGGACAGTTTAACTACATTTGATCTCATCCTCTAAACACAGTCAATATTGACATCATTTTAACAATGCGGACCCTTCTGTGGAGGGTGCTGAAAATTAAGTTCAACAATGCTAAAAAACATGTGCAAGTCTTCTATGGTGCAAAGTTTCTTTCCATTTTTTGTGTGTGGTCAGCACAGAAAAAAGATATCACAGCTCTAAAGGCTGTACAAACGAGGGCAAACATCCCTGGTCTGATGAAAATATCACCCTTAAATAAAGGGAAAAGAAATGTGTTAGCTTAGAACAGAAGGGGACATGTTTTGGCTGCTACAAATCTTGAAAGCCAAGTCAATGGAGAAGCTTGCTTAATGAATAAAAAAAATAGGGAGCATTCAGAACAGAAAAAATAACTATTACCCATACTGCTGAAGCTAACACTGTAAATCCTGTAAGAAACGGCTTGAAGAGATTCTTGGATCATAAGGCTATGGGCAAACAAATGAATAAGAAGGGCCAAATTGCACCCTCTCATTTATAATGTTCCTTAAGCACTGTAATGTATGAAAAGTAAAATCCCTTCTTCTTTAAATCCTTTATGTTAAGAAAAAGGCAATACACCTGCACTTTGACTCTGGCTATGACCAGTTTAGCTGACGGGATGAATTATGTGATATTCTCAGGCAGACGCACGTGGGAAAATACTTTCTGTAAATGGTGGTTGAACGCTTCCTATGCCATGTGTGCCCTATCCATTTTGTGTTCAGATAAAAGCCCCAATGTCCTTCTCCCAAAGGCGACACACAGAAGTGTTCTGAGGTGTGAAAACTTTGGAAATGCTCGTGCTCAGGGCACAGCAGAAAAGATACATTTGCATCAGTCTTGCTCTCCAAATTTACTTACTTCAAAACTTCGCTGAGTTGCGCTGTGACTTCCTGCATCCCTACACTGCCCACCAGTGAATAAGGTGATTTCAGTGGTCATGTCCAGCTGAAATCCAGCTCACATACCAGTCTCCACAGTGCACTGCCTTCAGGACTCCCACGGCTGCTGTAGTCTGGCGCTCGAAGCCCTGCCCGATGTGATCAGCGTGGGCCCGTGTCCGGTCTTCAAACAGCATCTCACGGGGCTCACTGGCCCGAGGTAGGTACTGCAGGTTTTTGATTTCATTGGTAGTCCTACATGCAAAGTCAAAGTAAATAACAGAGGCATTGACTGAGCAGATCATATTTTACTCAACAAAGGCCATATACAATGTTGAGGTTTACAAACTGCCACATGGGAAATGCTTTAACTGAACATTTTCCTTTAGAAGAAGGACAGCCTTGTGTCAGAGAACCGTTACACACTCTCAAACTCCACCCAATTATCGCTCAGTTTACATAAACTCTGCAGTTGTTGTCTTTTATTTTGAATAAGCATGCAAGTTGTGAAAAGCGGGCAATTAAAACAATTTGAAAAATCAGCATGTGGGGGAAAAATAGCCGAACCTAAAAAGACGCTGACGTTTGCCGATATGAATGCCAGTGCAAAAAAAGGAAACCACTGGGAAAATGCATGCAAGCAATTAGCATAAATTACACTGCAACTGCAGTCGCTTTCTAGAAAACAACCCTAGGCAAAACGATCATTGTTTAATATGCAGTTTTACAGTATGATGTGCTGCCTGATCAAATTACAAATGCAAAGTTATGGCCTAAAGACTGAAACCACGTGTCACCTCTTCCAGGAAACTGTAATGAGCGGGATTTTTTGAAGTGGATACTGACAGAGTCACGGATGATGTGTACAGTGAGAGGTCAATGCTCATTTTAAGAAGCTGTGCCTCCAGGGCACTGCGATATGCCAGCCTCCTCATTTAGCCTGAAATGGGAATCATTGCTTTTATTTATGCTGAAACCTCAAGTTCCAATTAAGAAGGAGTTCAAAGTGGTCCACTTGACAGTAGAATTTATCAAAGCAGAACTCAGCACTGTCTAGCTTGAGGGCATTTACTCCTCTTTCTGCTAGGGACCTATCTTAATTTCTGGCTGTTTTTTTCCCATCTTCTAAGATGTTTCATAAAATGTTTTTTTACATTTTCACTTGCTTTACATTAATGGAAAGAAAGAATTGTGAAAATATACAGCACTAAACAGGAACAATTAATGGTCACTTTTAAAGGAAAATGAAAAACATTTAAGCTGGAAAGGCTTCTTAAGGGGTGACCTTTGTGTCCTTTCTTTCCACACAGAAGAGTAGAATCAACATTTACTTGTTCCTTGGTGGCGAACACACACTGATGCAGCTCCCCACTCAAACCTCTTCAGACATACTTAAAAGTCATCAATCAGAAAACAAAATTCCAAAATAGGATACACAGGGTTTCCCAACCCTCAATTTTCAGAATGCAACTCGAAATTACATTCATGTTAGGCGATAATCTTATTCAAGGGGGCTAAACAAACTGGTACACTCATCTTAAAAATTAATTGTTGAGTGCGCCTTACAGAATATTCTCCACAGTAAGACATCTAAGTCAGGCCTTGTGCAGTACCTTTTCCACTGGTTTTTCTTCCCACCTATTCTGTCAGACATGATAAAAGATCAGGTATTCATTTTGCTGGTAACTATGGATTTGAAAAATTGGAAGTTTTGTTTTTCCTAGCCTGGATAAGATTTATTTCAGGACAATGTACATAAATATCAAGGATATTTATGTACCTCCAGCAACCTTATTTACTGTATCTCTTGCAGTAAATGCCCAGCCATCTACATTGGGGAAACAGGAAGGAGACTCGGAGACCGCTTCAGAGAACACGTCAGGGCTGTGAAGATTAAAGATCTCTCCAAGCCCATTGTTTCTCATTTCACCTCTGACGGCCACGACCACTCTAATCTCTCCGTCTGTGTTCTCAAAGACGGTTTTCCGAACCCATACATCAGAAAGACCACAGAAACTAAAATTATTCTGCAGCTAGGATCACACATTCTCCCTCCTCTTAACGACAGATTACTGTTCTTTTAAATTTTCTCCATTCATTGGAAGTTTCATTTCACACCTCTCTGCACCCATTCAGATTTCACACCTCTTGATTGGCCTCTCTTTCTGTCCCCTGCTCCCGCCTCTCACTCCTCCTCTCTCCCAACCTTTGTTCTCCCGCTACTTTACCTTTGCCTACTGCCCTGTCTCTCTCACACCTGAAGAAGGCTCCACAGCCGAAACGTTGTGTTCTCTTTCTTCTTTTTTTCAGCATGGAATAAACCTATTACTTGTTCCTTTGCAGCCTACGCATGCTGACGCAGCTACCCACCTGAATATCAAGGATGCTTGGTGTGAATTAATAAAATATTTAAAGAGATTTTTCAATCAATCAATCGCATGACTGTCCTTGCGTAATGATTTCAACTGTAGTTCAGGTGGATTGTGAATACCCATATTTTCAAAACCTGATTCACTTTTGGCACATTTGCTTTGGAAAGGAGAGCAACATTAAACACTCTTGATCTGGGTTGTGTGAACTGTCTTGTGGTGCAGAAAATGCTTTATCAACAAACAAATCACTGACCATTCTGAGGGAAAGATTAAAAAAAATAAAACATAAGCGGTTCAAGCAGAATTCTCTTGAGTTATTAAAACCCTGACACCTATATACAAGAGACCTCCAGCACTGACAAGCAACTTGTTCAAAGTGCCTACAGTGCTGTATTTAGAATCACAACGAGCGCATCAACTGACACGGAACACCAGAAGTTCACTTTCATGGTACTCGTGTTCCATGCACAAACAATACCAAAAACATCAAATGATGACATACTATTTGTCAAACAATACATGAAAGTCTTCTGGGTTTACTGAACAGTAATACTATCACGTAGTAATGAAGATTTATTAACTACTAAATTTAAGAGCAAGTAGATGTGTATTTCTGAACTGAAGCCTATGAACTTTCACCTTTTTTTTCCCCAGCTGGATAAATTCCTTATATGCAAATGTTACTAAAAACAAGCACGTTTCATAACACTGATGGGACTACCAAGAAAAACCCATTTCCATTTTTTTAATTGATCTGTTACTTAACCTGCCAAAACAAATTCTCATTTACAATAACTACCTAGAGAATACACTTGCAGCAAAGCATTAAGAGATGTTTTCTGTTGTACAGGAACTCTTTAGATTCTTCCTCATTCAACATTTTTACCTTTTACTAACCTCTCTTTATTATACAGATTTCGTGCAAGCTATAACACCTTCCTTCTTCCAAACCACCTGACTTTACAGAGCCCTCCTCTTTCAGTGTAGCATCCATCACAGATACACCTATAGTTTTGCCTGTCAAAAAAGACTTTGTACTTAATTTCTGAAGAGTCATTCGTTACTCTAGTTAGATGGTCTGAATGCCCTCCACTCATTTCTAAAGCCCATTTCTAAGGCCTGTTTCTAATTTATAATTAAGTAACATTTATTACTTATGATACAGGGTGACACAGGAGAGCAGCACGTTGACACAGTGGTGACCATTGCTGCCTCGCAGTGCTAGGGCCCGGGGCTCAATTCCGGACCTGGCGTGCTGTCTGTGTGGAATCTATGCGTTCTCCTCTTGTTCAATTGGGTTTCTCCTGTGCGCTTCAGTTCCCTCTCACAGTCCAAAGACATACAAGCCGGTTAACCGGCTTCTGGGAAAACTGCCTCTGGTGTGAGTGTGGTCTTATCAGCGTTTGGCGTTTTGTCCAGGGTCTATCCTGCCTTGAGCCCCTGCTTGCCGAGATAGGCTCCACGTCCCCTCAACCCTGAACTGAGTGAAGCAGTTAGAAAATGGATGGACGGATGAACGATTTACAAGTCTCACGTATCGGCCACTTCCTGGCCCTTAAACCACAAGTACAACTGCATCTGCTTTCCAGCAGAGGGAGCCCTAGGTTTGCTCTCATTGTGTAAATGTACACGACACTCCAGCTCAGTTACATCTGGCACCAACAACAGTCACAGAGCAGCACATTATATTCTTATAATACGAATTAAAACATGTAGAAATAGTTTTGCATTGTTGCACCTATGCAAAGGAATTTTCCTTGAGATGAATATGCTCTAAGTGTGGTTTTCATTCTAAAAGATTCCAATTTAAAGAACTAAGCAAGTTTAAATGCCAAGACCACGTAAAGCATGATCTTTCTCAAAAACTACACATCTGTATTTTTTTAAGCTATGAATGCAGACTAAAACGTGATTCATACACAAAGGATTAGAACAAATAATGTTAACGGCCTCATTCCTCAAAATGTCCATTACATAGCAAGAAACAGTTGTGCCACTGTACAAGTTGAGCAAGTTCATACGAAACACAAAGGCTTAAAAAAAAAAAACGACACCCTTATGGAACTAAAAATGTTTTACAAAGAGAAAGAAAATCTGACTCCTGTTTTACCAAACACAACCGAATAATGTTTGATGTAAAGATGTATGAAGTATCAGAAATAAACGATAACTTTTAAAGACTTAGTTCACGATCGGCGACGGACACAAAGCCCTCCTTGTCGTCTGGAGGCAGTGGAGTGAGCCCAGCCGCCGGCGTGTCCGCGTCAAGGCAACGGGCCTGTGCCGACCACCGTACCTTTTCCTTTTGAAAGGTGACTTTGGCATGTCGGCTACAGGAATCATCTGCTCTCCGGGTCGTACCCACATGATGGGCCCGTCGTCGCTCTCCGTCGGGCTCTTCAGTTTAAGACTGGAAAACGTTCCCCACGGCAACGTGCGCTAATGGAACAAGTGGGGACAGGTTAGGCCCTCCTTGGCTGGAGCTTCACCCAGCATCTCCACGCTCACTCGCCCAGCTAGCGCCAAAAAATCCTCTTTCAAGACCAACACCAGTTACCAGTTCTCCTGATCACGCAGTATGTAGTGCAGGGGCAATTGGTGTTTTAGAAACAAAAATACCAGGGTGACATTTCAAATTTAAAATGATAACAGAGGGGAGACAAGATTCTGTTCCTATGGACAGAGGTTTCTGCACGAAAATGTCTTGCTATCCAAAACTGCAGTATAATACAGCTGAATGGGTGTTTTGTCATTTTTATAAACTTGTCTGTAGGTCTGAATTTTTGTTATATTGAATTGGATTAAATTCAATCCATTTAAGCTGTCGTTTATGGTTAACTTTTAATTTTCCTTCAGTGCTATTTAAGAACGAAAACACCATGGTGATGGTATTTGCATTGCCAGGTAATTTAGTAAATTTGTAATTCCGGAAGGATTGATAGTAAAACTAAAAACTCAAATACTTTGGCCATGTAATGCGAAGACGGGATTCACTGGAGAAGACTCCGATGTTGGCAAAGATTGAAGGGAAAAGAAGAAGGTTAAGATGGATAGATAGTATTACTGAAGTGAATATGAATTTGCAAGAGCTCAGAGAAGCAGTTGTTGACAGACAGGTCTAGCATGCTAAAGTCCATGAGGTCACAAAGAGTCAGACTTGACTCAACAATTTTGTAAATCGCAAAAGGACTGTTCATCACAACACAGACCTTATCTCGGGCAACATGGAGAGGAATGAGTATTTATCAGTCCTGTCTTTTAAAAATGGCTTTTCTTTAAAAAAAAACATCCACCCCAGTTTACCAGTCGTACCCATTTCAGTAACTTACTTTCAAAAAGGGTGAGGCTTCCAAAAGGCGGAGGAATTCTGGAAAATAATCTCCAACTTCTTCATCCACTGCTCCCACCAAGCTGATCTGTCTCATCGCACCAGCTCGGTACGTCCCGTGAGAGTACGTTCTTTTTACCTGGAAACAAGACAGACATCGGCCAGTGTTTACTTGATCATTAAAACTGCATTTTCAAATGCACCAACCCTGAAAGATTCCACCCAAAAGATGACATTAAAACAAATCTGTACTACCCTGTAAATACTCATCAACATCATACCAGTGCTTACAACCCCACCCTCTTTTTAAAATTGCAGGAGGTTTGCAAATAAGTACATGCAGTGATACAGCTCATGGATGTGTATTCTAATGTATGCTGTACAGACAGTGAGCGCAGCAGGTATTACCCACAGCACATACTTAGTTTGGCGAAATTTGAAGGTGCCTTTGTGCAGCAATCCCATCATTAGTGGAAAAACTGCTTTAGGTTATTTTACACTGTGTAAATAAAGCAGCAAAAAGGGCTGTTTTTTTTATACACCACTAAGAGTTTGTGACATCAGTTTAAAGAAATGGTGGGAAATTCCAATAATATTGCTTGCTGTACAAAGCAAATTCAGCAAAAGGATACTTGAAGCTACTGAACAATTTGGCATTTGATGTGCTTGGAACCTCACTAGCTGAGTGCATCTATGAGCTGGTAATTAAATTGAAGAGAACAGTGAAGCTGCATATCAGGTACAATCCCTGCCCAGAGGCCCATCAATACACAGAGACTCTGAGCACCACTGCTGATCTCGCCATCCCTTTGTATCTTGGCAGCTGGAGGCTAAATGTCAGCAAAAGAATCAGGCCAGAAACCAGAAATAATCGTCACTCCAGCAGGTACGATGACTTTGTGGATCCTAAATCACGCAGGACGTGAGCGTCACGCTGGACAACGATGAAACAGTTAAGCTCTGCTGCTCAGGACCATCGTGCCATGTGATTCCCCTTGGCAAGTCAACAGAGCTGTAGTAAATCACTGCCCCTCCGCAGAAGAGCCTCACTGCTCGAATAAGACACTTCAAAGCTTGTTTAAAACTGCAAATGAGCTGTATTGCAAAGCCCACCTGCCGCAGACCTATATATGAAATGAAGTGCTATGAAGGGTTATGGTAGAGAAAAGAATACCAATACGAACCTGAGCAAGTATCATCAGGTAAGATGTCTCACCATAGGTGTGCTGTGAGGTACAAGTGTTAACCAGCATGGGTTTAGCCATCTCAGATGGTACTCTTACTACTGTACAACAATGAGGTATTTTATTTTTAAAAGTAAAGATTTCTAGAGGTATTTAGGGGATATCATATACAAAATTTTTCATTAAATAAATTATAAAGCCATACTGAAAACAAACAAACTCATTACATATTCTTCCAAATATTCACAGCAGCATTTTGGCCAGCATTTCTGTTGCAAGTCAGAGAACAGTGACGGCCTTGCCTTTGAGGAGATCCTGCATTACTATGGGTTTCACGCTACACAGGCAATTGAAATGAACAGCAGAGGGATGCTTCTCATTGTGTGTAGAAGACATTTCCTCCGATCATTAAGTTCTCCGGGTTGGAGAAAAATCAGAGTATACCGAAGGTTACATAATGTCTGTTAAACACACAGTATCCCTGACATTTCAGATAGGAAAAAACATACAACAGGCACAGGAATCATGCAGTGGCGCATACGGATTTCCATATGGTTCATTTCACAGTGACTGATGGCATATTTGTAATGCTACAAGGTGATTAAGGCTCCCATGGCTGCTACGCATCTCATTTAAAGCTTCGTCTTTATATTTTTTATGCTTAAGGCTTTGACAACCTTGATCATCAGTTTAGTTTCTAGTCTATCTGTGGGAATGTTACAAGTACAATGTAAATTACCCACAACTGACGTGAACGCAACCAGTATGACTAACTGCAGAAGATAGCAACTTCACTTAATGTAAAGAAGCAGAAAGAAACACGACCCAGGAATGATGCAGGATAAAATACATGATCTGTGTATTTTCAATGCATTTCCACTGTAAAACAATTTGAGCTGTTAGTATGGAAGGCGCTGCTTCCAGAGTTAGTGATTCTGGGGCCTAATTGATGGAAAACTTTTAATGGTACTGTTGTAAGACCACTACCTCCACATACTGCAAACTGAACCAATTCTTTGGTGGTTTTCTAACTGCTCCCTCCAAATCAGGGTCACAGTAACTGTCCGGCAGGCAACAAACGCAAGCCAGGGTAGGCCCTGGATAGGACGCCACCGCAGACATACCAAACCAAGTTCATCTTAAATGAATACATAAAAGCAAATTGGATTGAGTGCTGTGAACTATATTCTCCATTACGAAATGAGAGGTACATTTACCCTGATGAAACTTGGTTGTCTGACTTGGCCTGACACTGCAAACACAGTACATGCGACTGTGGATGAGGAGGAACTGGTGTAAACTGTAGTTTATCCAGGTCCCAGTTTGCATGGAACTCTGGACTACCTAGTTCATTCAGACATATTAATACACACACATTTAAACAGGCTTCAGTCAGTACCTGGAAAATCAGCAGGATACAAGGGGGTTTGCAACTCTCAATTTCTCTGTATTTCTATTCATTTTTGTTTTCAGGTATTGATAATGCCCATAATGGCAGAGACATAACTGTGAATCATTATATAGAGAATGGCAAGCAGTAAATTTCAAACCCCCACTATTAATTCCATATTTTCTTTCTCTCAGCTGTGAAACTTACTTTTTGGGAGTCATATCCACCTCGGCATGGAATACCCCATTTTATTGCAATTTCTAAATTTGAAAGAATTTAACTTGGTTGATATTGAGTTGGCCTTTCTATCCAATTGCAAGTCCTGTAAGTGATGCAAGATTCGACATTAGAAAACACCTTTAATATAGCAAGAAGGTAAGAAGAGTTTCCGAAGTCTTAAAGCCTCAGTTTCTCTTGCCAAACCATGGGGGTAAAAGAATCCACGATAGCAGCAATGGGATCTGCCCGACTCCCGGGATTCAACCCCAAGGCAAGAAAGAGGGATAATCCTTGGCTCGTATTATACAGCCTTTTCAACACTGAGCTGCTCTGAGAGGACAGGGCCATGTGAAAGATTTCTTTTCCAAGTCAATAACAATTACCTCTGGGAAATGGGTTTTGAGTTACAACATTCATAATAGATCTTGTACAACTGTAAGATTATTCCACAGTGAAGGCCTGTTCCAGGATAATTCTTCCGCACTTGAAAGCTTACCTTGCTGTTCTGTGTTCTAATTTTATAAAGTCTGCCACTGAAGGAGACCTGTTAGTTAGCTTTTAGATCTGGCATCAAAACAAGTTTACAATACTTTTGCTGATGAGAAGCTTTCTCAATCTCATTCAGAAGAGCTTAGTTTTTTGTATGCAATTAAGAGCAGCTATCCCAAGCGAAAGCCAGTATTGGCACAGTGCTTTGAGATGTAATCGTATGCTTGCTCGTTCCACAGAGATACAGAGGAAGTGATTTACCCCTGGCAAATGGTACCGATTGTTGCCTGTGGCTGGTTTCATTTCCCAGAATTCTCTTCCTCTTCCTGGAATGAGATTCCTATGAAATGAGCTACAGCCACCGGCGTGATTCATGGACATAAAACCCTCTCTCGCTTAGTAAAGGAAAATTGAGGGCTTGCATTACCCACTCTTTCCACTTATGGAGTTGAGTCACAGTGGAAGGCAAACCACTCTTATCAACTTCATCACACATGAGCGCAAAAATAAAAGGACAGTGAGGCAGAGCAGTGCTGCTCTCGCCACTAGCATTAGCAATCTGAACCTACAGTCAGGCCATCAGCCTTTCTTTTGTAATGTATTTTATTTTTAATGCTGAGCTTCACTGCAGAAGGGATTATATCACCACAGCAAATAGATAAGGTGTTTGCTGTTACTAAGAAACATGAAAGTCATAGTTTTCTAAATAATGGCAAATGACAGATTCTCATCAAACAAACTCACCAAGTTACGTACTATTTCTAGATTTGGGATCATCTGCACATATTAAGGCCTGCGATACACAGGGCTCATCGCGTTGGACCCTCAAACCAATTAGTCATTTTGTCACAATTACAACTAGGTCCAAGTACAAAATGGACTCATACATTATGAGGGATTTTTACTGGTGAAAAGATTAGTACAGCTACACTTTAACGATAGGAGTGGTCAAGAGATTTCCATGATTTTAAAAACTGAAACCCCCTCGCACAAAGCTTTGCTTGTGAGGGAAAGAATAGCCCCTTGTAAATAGTGACCTGTGTGCCAAGTTGCTGCAACATAAGGTATAAGCAATGGTTAGGAAACTCCTTTCTCAGGCCAAAGGTCTGTGCATAAGGGTGCACTGTACATACAGAAGTAATGACATCTTTCATACAGAAGCAATGGTTCTGTGAAACATACAAAACAAGAATAAAAATGAACAATGGAATACCACAGCCACACTGCAAAGGGCTCTGGCCTACAGTGGTAAAATCCTACTGCATACAGGAATTTCAGACTACAGGTAGTGGATGAGAAAATGGAAAGCACCAATGTAAAGTCACATAATAGAGCACTGGGCCACAAAGTGCAGCCAGCACAGCCTTTATGTGCCTTGGCTAAGAGTTTACTAGTATCTGGAAATCTGCAGGAGGGCTGGGCACCAATCAGCTCATCAGCCGAGTCTGGTTGATGGAGACAGAAAACATGGTCTCCGACATCATTCCAGAACATCCATTAAATTTGCGATAGGATTCAAATCTGGTGACAGACAGGAGCTTATGGAAAACACCAGTTTGTTTATCAAGCTAACGTGTGTTCTGTGGATGGGGGTGCATTCTCATCCTGGAAGATGCACCCCAACACTAATCACCCCTCTTTCAAAGTGACAGAGGTCTCCTTTTGCAGCCACGCCAGCCTTAATTAAGGGCAAACAGGTCTGTTCAGAGTTTTTACATATGACCCTAAGCATGCGTAATAGAAAAAATAAGCCACAACTGTGAGGAAGCCCTTGCTTTCAATGTACTTCCTCTTCTACCCAAGTGTTTCCATTTTTGTGTCTACTACCTGTTCATCACAAAGCACCAGGAGCTCAAT